ACAGTTTTTAAAATTAAAAGTACAGTACGAGCCTACAAATCATTGTATACGGAGTGATTCCAAATATGACTACGCATCAAATTTTTTAAAAAGTATTAAATAATTGCGCATAATCCTGTATATGAGAAGCAATACAATGCATCTAAAATTTATGACATTTAACGAAAAGCCATTTTGAATAAGTTTTTTATAAAATAATTTATAAACTCATACCACAATGATTTATTGAATTATAACGCTGGTCCTCTTCTATTTTTATTACATTTTGATAATTTGGAAATAAGAAAAGTATTATTTTAGCCTTTACATTTCTTCTGAGGCAGTGGCGTAGTCAGACATTTTTCATGAGAACTATGGAGGGTTCCGTCAACAAAGTGAAATATTTCAGATAAGACTGTTTTTATTAAAAAAATAAATTAAAATAAATTATTTTGTATAAAACCTTAAAAAAAGTGAATAAAAACAAACATCTGCGCCAATACGATGGAGGAAACAGTGACGCTAAGATCCTCCATATCGATCATTTTTTCAGTTTAAGGGTAAAATTCCTTCCAAATCTAACTCTATGCTGCAAATGTCCATGCTTTAGAACTATTCACCTCTCTAGCACCCCAGAAGAAATTTAAAGGTGTAAATAATCCTTTTCATCCCTCCAAATTATCGAAAAGTGATAAAAATAGGAGGATAAGGCTCCATCGAAAACAGTGGACGATAAGGGAAAATGTGGGTCATATTCGGATTTAGGAGACCATTTTACATATGAATCAGCAGGAAAGGAGCCAGGGGATGATTTTTTTATTGCCGATCAGTGTAATGTATAAAAGAATGTTAAAAAGTTAAGCTAGGTTGTAAAATGTAAAATTGAAAAAAAAAATTTTTACAAAACATTCAAATATTCCAATGAAACAAGACAATCACGGAATTTGGATTGAGCCAAGTCACAAACTGTAATTTGTGGTTAAAATTTCAACATGATGACAGAGATAAAGTAAATATACACTTTTCACACCTGATTGATGCAGTCGTAATTCAAAACTACACTCTGTACCTTCTCATTTGAGTGAACTATTTTCCAAGCTTTGATGGGTTTCTCCTCACTTTCATTAATGCAGGAATGCCGGAAATTCAACCTCATGTTAGTTTATCATGTGTACATGTAACGGAAAGTGGTGAGGGGGTACAATGTGTGTTTTGTTAAAAAATTACTGACATCTATGCAACCAGTATTCCTTTCTTGTATTGTTAGTTGCATATGCACAATTCATTCATTTTATTAACAAATAGGAAATCCTAATTTACATATTGCTTGTTAAATTTATTCCATTTTAAAGAAAGCGGTTTATTTTGTCGTTTATTGTGTTTTAACAATTTTGTGCTTTCTTAAAATGGTTATAGGTTTAACCAAATTATATTTTTATATAGTCAACCTTCCCTTCTTTGATATAAACTTTCAATAATAATGTATACTGTTATGTGAGCCATTTCATTATTCAGTCATGCTCTAACCCTCCAAGTTTCTCTCTGTCTTATTTGGCCTTTGAGGCTCAACTTGTCCGATTATTATACATAATTAAACCCCTTAAGACCAAAACTATGTGACGACTATGGCGGAGGTACTTTCGCGAACATTCCTGAGTCAACGGGATAATATTTTTAGTCTATTCCAAATATAACGAGATATTACTAGTTTGGCGGAGGAGCTTCTGGAAAATTCACCATAATTTTAAATTGGTATATAAATATTGGTGAAGAATAACGCTGTATCAGTTATTAGATAGACAGTGGTGAATATAAATAGTGAACGATTCAAAGACATTCGAAATATATATAAATTAGAATAGTAGTGTTATAAAATAAATAATTGTTTAAATAAATTATTAATAAATAAACTGTTGTTTTAAAATAAACAAACATCACAATACATTGATTTTAAAACCAAAAAATAGTAGTTATCGCAACAAGTGCTTCTAGCACGTGTTACGATCAACATTTTTTCTACAAGCGCATTTATTTCTAAAATAGAGAATTAACCTGTATAATGACATTAGGTACAACATACAGTTTAAGTATACATATATTAAACCGATGTTATGTGCTGAATTGGTGTAGTGGTTAGGGTTTCGGGTTCATAACGCAAAGATCTTAGGTTCAAACCCGGGCCTCGGCGGTAAGTATACCTTGCTTTTTTTCAATTTATATTTCTCTGCGTGCGAGAAGATAAACTTCTCGCACTCGAAAGAGTGCGAGAAGATCATCTTCTCGCACGCTTGTAGAAAAAGGTTATTTTTATTTCTGTTCTTTTTGCAACCTGTGACATAATGTATTTTTGTATACAGTTTCATAATGTTCAACATTATACAACTGGTATAAAGTAGATCATTTTGATACTTGTTGCGATTACAAAAAATGTCAAAATGTCAAAATTAAAAAAATATGTAATACCTTCCTAAAGATAATAATAATTATGTTTAAATAAAAATCTGATGTGTCCCACACATGACTTTCCTATCTAGTTATTATAGGCTTTTTCCGATTATTTTGTACAACCTATTGCAGCACCTCTATAAATGTTTAGAGGATAAACTAAATATATACATTTTCCTCATACATCTAACTCGAAACATTTTTCTATAGATATTCATTGAAAACGAAAATACTGAAAAATTTAAATTTAGCACTTTTCCTTCAATTTTTCCAATACGGTCCATTTTAGAAAAATCATATAAAAATTATAGAGATCGATATCGCAAACAACTTTTAGTTTAACAATTTTCTTAAAAATCAGAATTTTGCACATTTTGTCAAATTTCTCGAATACGGACCATTTCAGGAAAATTTGGCAAAAAGCAAAAATTGAAGATAATATTAGAAGTAACTTATTTGAACAATTTTCTTCTCCAAACACAAATAACAGATATTATATTCCATAAAATATAAAAAAGACCTCCTATAAAGTACCCCTCAGATGTTCCTACTTTGTCTAAAATGTAATCAGCTCACCTCATGCCGAAATAAAACTTAAGTTTAAAATTTAAGGTTTTTTCCTATATCTGTTTCTGAATTTTCTTCAAAATTCGAAATTTACATTATTTCTCAAATATCTCGAATATGGTTTATTATAGAGAAATTGTGTATAGAATAAAAATTTTAGAAAATTATATTATTTGAACAATTTTTTTTAAATTTTGTCAAATTTCTCGAATACGGATCATTTTAGAAAAATTTTTTATTTAAAGAATTTTCTTTTCCAAACGTAAATAACAGATATATTCCATAAAATATAAAAATGGCCTCCCATAAAGTACCCCCCCCCCAGATGTTCCGACTCTGCCCAAAATCTAATCAGTTCACTGGAGGCCGGAATAAGTTTAAAATTTTTGGTGTTTTTATTTGTATCCGTTCATGAGTTATCGAAGATACGCACACACACACGCGCGCACACACACACACACACACACACACACGCACACACGCACACACACGCGCACACACACTCGCGCGCGCGCACACACACATGCACACACTCGCACACATTCGCACACACACGCACACACACACACACACGCGCGCGCGCGCGCACACACACACACGCGCGCGCGCGCACACACTCGCACACACTCGCACTCACACACACACACACACACACACACACACACACACACACTCGCACACACTCGCACACACTCGCACACACACACACGCGCACGCACACACACGCGCGCGCGCGCAAACACACACGCGCACGCACACACACATAAATCATCGCGAAAATAGTCAAAACGGATTCAGGAATCCCAAAACGTAAAAAGCTCTCGAAAACTCGAGGTCGAAAAAATCATGATTCCTATACTTTTCTTATCTGTATATAGATAGGAATATAAAAATCGTTAGTAGTAACTGGCGTTTAACCCAATGATTATTTTAAATAGGTTCAGATACTAGCAGATGATTGGTTATTTTTTGTTTATATTTTGTTTTTTATCTCTGCTGTATTTCTTTTGGCTATAATTCAATACCTGTTGCGGTATACGCCAAAGGAGTAGATGTTTTCAAAAGAGAAACGGTTGTTCGTATTTTTATGTGATACTGGCTTTGAGTTTTATTTATTTTTCTTTGTTTTTGTTTTTTTATGTTTTTGTATTTTTTTTGTATTTTTTTGTATTTTGTTTTTGTTATCTCGTTTTTTTGTTTTTTGTTTTTTTTCTGTTTTATTGTTTTTTTGTTCTTTTTTGTTTTTTCTGTTTTTTTTTGAGCAGACAAAAATTTTTATTTTTAGTTGCTTCGTCTAAAAAATATATTAAAATGGTAAATTTGATTATGAAAAAAAATTTAATTGAAAACTGCCAAATTGTTATGTAGAAATAAATAAAAAAAACTATTTTTTACGAACATAGTTTATAAGAAGTTTTTTCATGTTTTAACCCAAGAAATTCTAATAGGACGTAATAGCTAAAATTTTACAGATGATCAAAAAACTTTTTATTTTATTATCAAGACTAAATAGATGTTCAATATAGGATATAGAGTGTGAAAAAAATATAATTTCCTGATAAATTATATGTTAGGATGTGTTAACTCAATCATATCATAAACGCAATTTCCAAAAAATGTGGAATATGTTCTATTTGAATTGGAGTATATGTGCTATTCGATGAAGTAGTTACCGATGTAACAAAATTATGAAACAAATTTAAATACCATCCAAAAACCTATTCACGATAAATTAGTGTTTAAAAAAATAATTGAACCACTCATAGTGAAACTCAATTTTAGCTTTATTCAGAGCCTCTTTAGAAATATTTTAAGTTTTTTAAATAACTGCCTTCGCAGTGGCTGATATTTTTGCCTGATATTTTTGAATATTTGGCTCCATTATTGTGGTAATCGTAGCCTTAAAGCAGAGAAACACAATATACCCGTTGTTTTGTGTTACGCAACGCTTCTAATGCAGCGCCATTGCTCCATTTATCAAACCCAATTAAGGATCGTTATTGTTGCAGGTAGAAACAATTGGGGACGCTTACATGGTGGTATCCGGTTTGCCAAAAAGGAATGGTAATTCACATGCCAGGGAAATAGCACGTATGTCATTGGCGCTATTAAACGATGTCAGGAAGTTTCAAATTCGTCATATGCCCACTGAACCGCTGAGACTCAGAATTGGGCTGCATACCGGTAAGTTTTTTTCTTATATGTGCATCCATCCTATATTTTTCTCTTATCCATACCCAAATTCATGAAATATTGAATTAGATAAATTTAGTTTATTTCTTACGTCTATCATAAAAGTTTCTTCCGCTCTATTATCCAAACCACAAAGTGTCCATCTATATCGGGACGGTGGTGTAGCGGTCTAACGCGCTTATATTCATTTATAGGCAAGTTTATGAGTCAGAGACTGCTGGGCTTCGGTTCCCAGACCGGACCATGTGGATTTTTAATTAAATTGCATGGTTCGGTTTAGGATTTGATGTGTGCCGTATTAATAGAAATTCAATTCCTGTTGATATGACATGCAGATTATAAAATCGCCATGCATTACCGTCTCGATGATGGTGGGTGAGGTTTTCCGGGTTTTCCTCACCTGTAAGTCAAATGGCACCATCAATCATCTTTAAGTCGCCCCGGAGCGCCACGGCAAATAATAATAATAATAATAGCCGTGCCTTTCCCCGCACAAGCTCAGCTTTTGGGAATAAAATTCACTCGTAAGGGGGTGAATTAGGGAGAGTATTATTATTATTATTATTATAGATTGACACATTTTAACAACTTAAAATTCGAGAAAAAATTACGTGTGGCAACAATTTTAACAAACATTTATGACATATCTTTTTCCGTTCTCGAGTTGTGAGTTGTTAAAATGTGTTGATTTATAGATGGACACCTTGTATTAGCTAAGTTTATTGGACACTGATTACATATTTTACTATAGGTAGATTACTATCTGAAGAGTATATTGCCTAACAAAATGTCTAATTTCGCACAGCCAGGAGGAGCTTATTTGACAACGTTGTACTAAAATTGCTTACGGTAGGGGTACCTGATAACCAGTGCTTTCTTTAGCAGTGGCGTGTGTACATTTATAATATATTTTAAATCTGAAATACTCGTAAATGAAAAGTATTAGTCAGAATTTCGACTATTGTTTGTCAAATTTTTAATAAACTGTAAATTAATGAAACAACTGAAAATTTTACTTAATAATAAATATATTTGTGATTATCTATTTCAATTTTCAATATCCGACAATTCTGAATCCCACTCGTCAGATGTTTCTGATGTGCATGCCCCTGGTTCTCTTAAAGTACCTCTATATTGATATGCACAAAAAATACCACGATTTTTCGACCTTTAATACCGTAAATAATTTTTTTGGGACTTTAAAAGTATCTGCCATGACCTTGGAACCGTCATAGTTGTCTGCCATTGTTTTTTTTTATAACAATAATGATGTATTTTAAAATATCCAAGTTGCAGCCTTGTCACTATGACGTTGAACTTGGTCAAATTGTTACATCTTTCGTACCTAACTCCATACTCAAGTTATGTCTTCATTATGTCCTCGTAACTATCCCATCTAAAACGTTTCATGACGTTAACTTTGATCAATTAAAAATTTTAATGTATCTGACATTTGTTATCACTGTCAATAAACCCATCTACTATGGTGCTTTTTTGAGGGATATCTAAATTTTTATAATCGAAACATAAAGCTCTTTCCATTTATTTATAATTAAGATAATTTAAAACCAGTATTTCATCGAATATTCAGCAGCAAACCTTTTGAAAACCATTAAAATAATTTAAACCCTTTCTTGTCAACTGACCCATTTAGTAAAAAGGTTAACAATTTAACACCCCGTCCAAGAATAAACAAGTCCGCGTTTTTATAAAAACGGCGGAGAGCCGATTGTTGAATAAACCATTCGTTCATAAATATTTATTTGCAATTCCGCTGTTTTTCAACCTCTACGCGGTTCATAATCCAGACACAAAAGTTTCACAGTTTTCCTTTTTAACTTAATAAAAGAACTTTATAATAGAATTTTAATGTGCTACATTATATTTCATCCGTTGAAGATTATTCTATGAACTTTCGTCGGCAGGTTCACGTCCAACAATCCTAAAGGGACATTTTTTCCAATTTGACATGCTCTCTTTTAACATTAATTATTTAAAAGTTCTGAAACTTGCATAAAAGAATGTCATACAAATACTTATATAAATTCCTTTATTCAAACGTTGATATCGAACGACTATTTACAGCTGTATACCGTCAGTCATTTTATTATTTTGATTCTATATTTTTACATCTATTTAATGACTTTGCACATAAATGACAGGAATTACCAAGCCAGCATAGATTAATAATGAAGTTAAAATATCTAGTGATAGTCTAAAAATTTTTTATTATAAAACCATCATATCCTGTACTTTGGGGCAAAACGAGATCATATAAAATTAATAAATACGTCTAAAAAAATATAACAATAAAATATCTAATTCTGATAATAAGGGACGAGCTAACTGGAATATTATCAAAAAGGTAACGAATAAAAATACTGTTGAAAACAACATCAGTATATTAGATAAAAATAATCCATGATATTATAAATAATACTTTATAAATGAGCTTAAACTTTTGACAGAGAACTTATCCCGGTACAAAAATATCGATACTAATAAATAAAAAACCATAATTGTTCATCTTTTAAAAACTTTTATATCTTCAGAATTAGATACTTTTCTTCTAACTAATTCAAAAAATCTGATGTGTCCAACACATGACTTTCCTATCTAGTTATAGGCTTTTTCCGGTTATTTTGTACAACCTATTGCAGCACCTCTATAAATGTTTAGAGGATAAACTAAATATATACATTTTCCACATACATCTACCTCGAAATATTTTTCTATAGATATTCCTTGAAAACGAAAATACTGAAAAATTTATATTTAGCACTTTTCCTACAATTTTTCCATTACGGTCCATTTTAGAAAAATCATGTATAAACAAAAATTATAGAGATCGATATCGCAAACAACTTTTAGTTCAACAATTTTTATAAAAAATCAGAATTTTGCACATTTTGTCAAATTATAAATGTGACCTATGCTCAAATTAGGAGTTAGTATAATGTTTTCTTTATGTTCCACAACTTCAATAAATGTTTTTAAAGTTAGTGTTGGTTTTATCTTATACTTAATACTTTTAATGCGCACGATTCCCAACACTTGCGCGCCATTACCCATTGTAAAATGTTTATATGAAATAAAATGTCTATATGAAATAAAATGTCTATATGAAATAAAATTTATATATCTATCTAACTAACTAAATTTATCTATCGAACTAAATTTATCTAACTTTCCATAACTTCTTTAAACATACTTCATAATCATCTTTTCCCTTCACGGCCAGTCTTACTTTAAAAAATAGCTAAAAGTCACGGGATAACAAATCAGGCGAACGTGCCGGTTTCATTCATAACTTCCCCGGTCCCTTTCTGTCCACCCGCAACATTGTTGTATACTCCTCGTATAAAACTTTCCTTTTTTTTTACAGGCCCATGCGTAGCCGGCGTTGTGGGATTAAAGATGCCTCGTTACTGTCTTTTCGGCGACACTGTAAATACAGCGTCTCGCATGGAATCTAACGGGGAATCCCTACGGATACACGTTAGCAGCGCCACTAGAGATATCTTGGAGGAGTTTGGAACTTTTGAACTCGAGCCTAGGGGTTTAATAGAAATAAAGGTAGGATCTTCATATTTTTTCTCTTACTATATTGAGATGAAATTTAGGGATAAGAAAATAAAACCTTCAAAACACCTAAAACGTTAACAAAAATAATTAAAAGGTCTTAAGTAAAACTGAAAGAAAATATTTCTAATAAATGTTTTTTAATTACACCCCGTATATAGGTAAGTTTGACAAATAGTGAAAAATAACTAAATCTGGTGACATGTACAAGTACAAAATTCTAAAAATGTACAACACGCATTTCAAAATAACCTTCTGAAAAAAATTGAGGCAAAATTTCATTAAAATTTCAGTATAAGTTTTAAAAATAATTCACCCGTTGAAATTTAATAATTTAAAAACAATTAAACTAAAAACGAATGAATCACCAAATGTTCAAATATGGAATGGACAGATAAACGTTTTATTTTATTTATTTGAAAATGGAATTTCTATAAATTTTATTAACTTTAAAATAAAAGGATGTCAAAAGTATAAATAAATAAAAATTATACAACAATCAATAATAATGGACGGATAAAAATATCGAGTTCTCTTTGACCGTTTTAATTTGATTTACATGCTCAGGTATATGATTTTTACACATTGTATTATAAGTCGATTTTATTTGAGAAACGTGTTCAACTAAGTTGCATTCACCAAATATATTAGCGCTTTATCCAGTTATTGTTTCCAAAGCGAGTTGTATACTGTTTTTATTACCGATGTTAACCAGTTTCATTACTCTAGGTCCTGTTAAATGTGTTAGTAGAAGCGGCGGAGACCTAAAATCGCTTAGTTTAGATTTTCGTTGGCATTTTATAGATAAAATTGTTTGAGTAGTGGAAATAGGAGTTTTTGATTGCTAGTTTTAAATGGAATTTATACGGGGTGTTGCATCGTCGAGCGGGACATAGGGAATCCCATGTAACTTTAAATGGGGTCATTTATTGGCTTCTTTAATTATTTTAGATACATTCGAAAGAATAACTTTAGATATTTTTGATTAGCCCGTTTACGAGTTATTGCCAATCCCTGTTTAACTCCTTTATTAATTATAAATTCTTCTGTCGCTCCTTTTTGTGTTTTAATATTAATTTTTGTTTCTCGTATCGTCGTTGTTATTAACCGCCTTAACTTTATTGGTATTCCTAATTTTTGTAGGGCCAGCTGCAGTTTTGTTCCTTTTATTGAGTCAAAGGCTTGTTTAAAGTCAATAGAAAGCATTTTAATTCTATTTTGTATTTATACGCCTTTTTGCTTGTTTGTGCTAGCCGTCTTTGTAAGTTGTATTAAGAAGTGGTATTCCTCGGTATTTTTCCTCCTTCCATATTTTCTTAATTAGAGATAATGGTCTTTCTATGAATTCGTTGCCTCTATATTTAATGTTTTCGATGTTAATTAATTAAATCTTTTCTTGGTGATTTTTCATTTGCATTTTCCCAATGACGTTTTCTATCTCTTCTCTTGTTGGATCATCAATTATGTCCCTTTCTTCTATTTCCTCTTCCTCTGTCATCTCAGATTCTTCCATCTTCCGATCGATTAGGAAAACTTTAAAGTAATCTATCCACACCTACTTGTATTTTTATCTTCATCTTCCAGTATCACTGCCCCTTTTTTATTGCCTTAGTTTTGCCTTTGTAGATTTTGTTCTGTTCTATAATTTTCTTGAAAAAGTATTTTGTATTTTTCTTACTTCCTTCTTGTTCATTTATTTTAATTGTATTGTTTATCCAATCTCTTTTACTTTATCTTATCAGTTTTTTGAATGGTTCTCTCAGTTCTTCATAAGCCATTTTATCTTCTATTTTATTTGATTATTGCTTGTACCTTTTTTTTTGTTTCTTCACTATATTTTTTATTGTAGTGTTATTTTTTTGCTTTTTTCTCTGCAGCTCAAATATTTTCTTCTGCTGCTAATTCTATGCTTTCTCCGATGACTTTCCATTCTGCTTCTATTTCATTTTCTTCAAGTTTATTGCTTAATATTGATTTTATTTTCTCTGCATATTTTCCTTTTACTTTTTCGTTATTTAGTTGACTTACATTCTATTTGTGCTGCATTGTATTAAGTTTTTTAGCTCTTTTCACTTTTTGTATTAAGCTACCAGTGACCATGTAGTGATCGGAATCTGCAAATGGTCCTCCATACATCTTTTAGTGTCAAATATTTTCTTTTTGCGTGATTTAAATGGAATAGATTATCCAATAATCATCCTGTGGATAAATAAAATGTTCTCAAAAATAAAATTAAATATACAGGGCGAGTCATAACTATTGAGACATAGGCTAAGGTCAGGTTATTCGGACCAAATATGCCTTAATAAAATATTGCTGTGGAATAAGAGAATAACAATAGAATATAATCTCACAGCAAAAATAATTCACTGACAAGAAACGACATTTACCAGACACAATTATCTGACAGTCTAAAGCACACTTTTCATAAATGAAATAATATTTTTTGAAATCCCCTTCTGAGACTCTGAACTGTTCAATTGCGTTTTTCTCTATAACGGGTGAATTAATCGTGTTTAAACAAAAGTACCAATATTACGTAAAAATGATGTTTACGTCATATTTTCTAATCGAAAACACTAAAAAGTTTCGTCAAAAAAAGCTACCACTTAATTTCATCATTAGGAATCATTCTTGTGGTGCACCTGTAACAAAATGTGAAATAATACATAAGATAATATTCCTTGCCAAAGTTTTGCCTCTGTGTCGATTTTGATAATAATTTATAAATATACAGTGACATTATCAGAAAAAAGAAAAAAAATGTCAACTTTAACGCCCTGTATCTTATTCCACAGTAATAGTTTATTGAGGTAAATTTGGTCCTATCGCCATATTTTGGTCCAAGTAACCTGACCTTAGCCCATGTCCAAATAGTTATGAATCACCCTCTATATTTCAATAGCAAATATTGTTCTTAAAATAATATTAAAAAAAAACATTTTTTTTGTATTATATTTTTCACAATTGTATGGTCGTAAATGACACAATTATACAAATATTTATTTATATTATTATTTGATACTTCCAAAAAAACTACTGTTTTACTGATTTTTTAACTATATTCACAACCTATATCATATAAACTGCAAAAAATTGTTAAAATATATTTAGGTGCCCTCTTTGAGCTAACTAACAGTGTCAATTCAACAGTCGGATAGCTAACTATTAAATTTCACCATCTAGGTTCGCGTAGATTTTTGTGCATAAATATTTCTAAAATATTTATATTTTCTATTGAAATGACCCAAATTTATCCATCGAAAAACAGATGTCTAACTCAACTGTCTTTCGCGGTGAATGCCGGAAGGCCATCTGGTTTATTGGGTTACATTGATGTTATTTTAAAATATTCAAACGAAACACAGACAATATCTTAAAGAAAGTTAAATTAACCTTTTCGACTCACCAGCGAAAATACAGACATTAGGTTCGTCTAAACTAGACATTACGTACTAATTTTATCTAGCGTTGTAATGGCGTCGATTTTGGGTACGTCGTAGCGTTTAGCGTCGCCTTGCATTATACGTCGCTTTGCATCGAGACTCATACCGTCGTGGCGGAGAGGAAGATATTTTTAGTTAAATTAACCTTTTCGACTCAACATCTAAAATACAGTCAGTAGTCTAAACTAACTACGCATTATGTACTAATTTTATTTAGCGTTTTAATGGCGTCGATGTTGGGTACGGGTCGGGACGGATAAAAGGTAGGAAATACTTAGGTGGTGCTGCTTCTCGACGAAGGGTTTTGTCACGGGTATTATGAAGGAAATATTTAGGTTAGTTTACGGAGCGGCAAGCGTCGGGAAGTAGGGCGGTGGGACGTTGATCTTCAGGACGTGACAATATTCGGGATGAGATAGGTCGTCGGGACGGAGAACGTCGGAACGTAGAAAAGTAGGGAAGTACGGCGGCGTGACATTGAGCGTCGGGATGTGAAAGCGTTCGAGAGAGAGAGGTCGTCGGGACGTATAAAAATAGGGAAGTAGGGTAGCTAGACGTTGAGTGTCGGGACGTGAAAGCGTTCGGGAGATAGGTCGTCTGGACTAAGAACGTCGGGACACATGAAAGTAGAGAAGTAGGGCGGCGGGACGTAGAACGTCGCGACGTAGGAGCGTCGATAGAAGGTAAGGAAAGAAAAGCGTAGGTTAGGAAGAGTCGGTATAGGAAAAGTACTGAATACTGAACTTGAAATATAACTAAATTAGAAAATCAACTGAATTAGACTGAATTTAAAATAATAATATCTCTCGAGTTGCCAGGGGTTAGATATTTATACCAGTTTTAATGATTTTGTGACGTAAATTTGTATTAACTCAGGTAGGAAAGAATTTGGGTGGATACAAAAAGGATGGAAGATTTATTACGTGCCTTGAGAAATTCTTAGAATTTTGTGTCGATATCATGTCCAAATTGAATCCGGGACAGATGCTCCCCCATACATTTGCGCCCCCGATACATTTGAGCCCCTGTCTGTCTTGATTATTTGAATAATGATAAAATTTTAGTGAGACAGTCCCTATTAATCCCAAACAGAAGTCGAATAATGAAAGTAGATTTTTTGGTTTACTGATATATATAGGGTGTTTCAGAGTTAAAAGTACATACGTTAACTATAAGTGTAAGACATTTGGATGATTCGAAATCACCCATTAATAATGGGTCTATGACGTCTCATTACCTAGAATGAATTTATTAATTTCGCATGGATTTATATTTCATCATATCTTTACAATACTTTTTAAAAATAATAAATATATGTTAGTATTTCTGTTTCAAATAAAGTAAAAAGTAATTGTTTCCAAAATAAAAAAAAGGTTGCTAGGCACCACATTACAGTATCTTATACTGTTATGTTCCATTTCACGGAATTAAATGAGTAATATATTTATTAGTAATACTGATATTTAATTGTGAAGAAGCAAAAATTATCTTTAAAAGAAACTATAAGTCTATTTGCTGGACAGAATGAAATAAAAATTTTTGTTTGGT